ATCTACCTATTGCCCTGTTTGGTCAAAAGGTCCATCACTATGCGAAAACAGACAACGTGGTTTATGAACACATTTGATGGGTTCTTTAGCTAGCTAGTTAACTGTTCCTAACATGGATTGGTACAATTTTAACTGTCTTCTAGTTAGTTAGTACAATGTTTCTAATGTGGTCAAGTAACATTTTACAGATATTTTAACAAGTTTGTTCCATGTTTCTAATGTGGTCAGATAACATTTCACCGGACCTTTAACGAGATAGTTACATGTTTCGAAACTTGTCAGGCGATATTTAATTGGTAATCTTGAAATAGTTTGTTACATTGTTACCTTATGGTAAGGTAAAGTCTTCCTTGCTAATGACAAATTTCGAACGTGGTATGGTAACATTTGACAGGTTTTTCTAAAAAAAAACAACTAGATAGTTACTTGTGTGTAACGTTGTCAGGTGATATTTACAGGTAATTTTCTACTAGTCATTTACATACTTTTAGCATGAAAAGGGACAGGTTGCATGTTACAGGTTTCTTAAACTGCTTCCAACGTGGGTTGGAAAATATTTCAAACTTCTTTTAACTATCCATTTACATACGTCTGATGCGGTCAAAAATGGAAACATTAATAGAACTGTACTTTCTGCTCCGAAATATTAAAAACCTTTCACATGAATGAACATTGATTTTATAAAATGAAAAATGTGTAAAAGGTAGACTCTCTCATTTCAAACACTCCTTTAGTGAATCAAGCCCCGCTCTAATGTTTTCATTACTCCTAGTCCCAGTAATGCTCCTAATAGTTTTCTCTCTCTCATATATATATGAATGTCAACGTCAAAAAAAAAAATAAAACAAAATCAGCGAATAATATTTTTATTATACTCTTCAACAAACTGAAATGTGTGTGCTTTGTTTGAACACAAGAGATAATTTTAGTGTTTATTTAAATCTATAATACAGGGTACAGGTAAAAATAAAACTGATTATATACCTATGTATATATATATATATATATATATATATATATATATATATATATATATATATATATATATATAAATAGATATATAATAAGTTTTATTTTTACCTGTACCCTGTATTATAGATTTAAATAAACACTAAAATATATATATATATATATATATATATATATATATATATATATATATATATATACATAGGTATATAATCAGTTTTATTTTTACCTGTACCCTGTATTATAGATTTAAATAAACACTAAAATTATCTCTTGTGTTCAAACAAAGCACACACATTTCAGTTTGTTGAAGAGTATAATAAAAATATTATTCGCTGATTTTGTTTTATTTTTTTTTTGACGTTGACATTCTGTTCCATTTGCACATAATAAATCAGACATTGATATGGTGGTGCATATTCATAAGATATCAATGCAATTTGCGATGATTCACTGTTGTGTGCAGTTGACGAGATTCTCGAAATCGGTTTGCAAGTGTTTTTTTCTGTTTGTGTTGTTTAGGAGAACAACAATTTAGATATAACATATCTGCAAGGAACTGATTTGTAGCTAGGTAAGAACTATAATTGATCAATGTGGCATACACGAAAATATAAACATTAAAGGTTATAATGGCCGATTGCTGGTTTAATTGCCTTCGAAGTTTGCATAGACACGAGGGAAAACAAATCGTCAATTAACTTGTGTAGAAACTAAATCCCAGAATGCGTGATATTATGCCAAAAGAGACCCAGCAATTCAAAAGCCAGTATTATCTTAATTGTTTTATCGATTTAGACTTGCTGTCGCCGGTTTCAGAATGCCCATTGACTTCTTCTTAGCAAAGACTGACAATGTTTCTGATTCCAGTTCTAAAACAGAGAGGTCCCTTATGGCGGGCATACAACACTGGACTATGGAAAATATATGAAGCATTTAAAAGATTTGAACCTGCCTAAATACAGATTTAATCACGTTAATTGAAATGCATTTCTAGATAACAGAGATCAGTTTGTTCCGGGAAAGTAAATGGTTAGAAAATTAAACGGGGTTGAAAGGATTTAAAAGGGGTTAATGGGACTGGACATGCAAAGTTTTACAGTAATTTGTCAAACGATTTTCCGATTGACAAGTCTTTCCCAGCGGGGAGAGCAAATACTAAAACATTCATACAGGAGTTTAGCTTATTGGTTATGAAGCATGGTGTTAAGTTTCTGTCCGTTGGGAATTCATTGATAACAAACGAGCCTTAGTAATTACCATCATAGTATATTGTCTTATAAATATATTCATATTTCACCCAAAAGAAGAAAAAAAAATGAACATTACTTACAAAATAAAACATTTCGTTGTAAGAGTCAAAGTGTGGAAATTTCTCTAGTCTTATGTAGAAGAGAGATTAGGTTAAACGATGTCCAGTATTATTTTAATTAGTTTCCTTCGAATATGGAAATTAAACATTCTATCAACCTGAAGGATCAATAACTCATTCTGAGATTATACACAATTTGTTAAAGGATAATGCCAAAAAATATCATGCATGGTAACTTCTTGCACTGAAACGTTTAAACTGAAACTATTTTACAAATATTGATAAAGTGTAGTCCGTCGGTCTTCGTTTCCTTCTTCGTCTTCGTCTTCTTCTTCTTCTTCTTCTTCTTCTTCTTCTTCTTCTTCTTCTTCTTCTTCTTCTTCTTAAATACTGTTTAGCATTCGCTCACCTCATTGACGAATTGGTCTGTCAATGCCATTTTCGGGTAACTCAACCACGGAGCACTACGAAACACATGCATTGAGAAGTGATTGCTCTTAGACCCGAGTAACAATAAACGAAATAAATCTGAATTCAAGTTTCCAATTTTCACCTGTTCCTAATTTGTGAGACAAGTAGGGCGCAATATTTCAATATCACAATATACATTCTTTGTTTAGTAATTCGTCAAATACTCTAATTTGTCGTGGAGTAATGCAGATGCAAAATACTGGATAGGGAGGAAATGAGAGAACATTATCCCACTGTGCCTAGACTAAACGGGAAATAAGCTATGTGATCCTAAATTCAGTATTTGTTTATATCGTAACTGTTGCTTGTATTGGCTCGTACAAAAGTAACAAAAAAGAGTGAAGCCAATAAGCTTTACAAATTTTAACAGAATAATTTATTTCCCTAGAAAACAAGTAAAAATATGAAAAAAGACATACGGTTTGTGCATCTGATCCAAACATTAATCCTAGAAATAAAAAAACTGTTAAGTCATATCACTGAAAAGTTCTAAATGAATCAAAGTTCGAATCCCAATGGTGTTCCAATATAGATGGCGATTCCGTCTTCTATAACCTGTTTTGTGTCGTCTTGTCGACAGTTCTTTGTGGAATCGATAAAAAATAATATTCCGGTTTTAGAATTCCGAATAATTTTCAGTAAATGTCTTTGTCAACAATTTTTTATGAGCACTAAATAAAGTCCCTAGGGAAAATAAATTATTTAAATAACCAATTCAGACTGGCAACAACAATAATAATGCTTTTTGAGCCAGAAGGTATGAAATACGACAGACTAGAAAGACAATATGATACGTCACTTTTACTTCAACTGCATAGCAATAGGAACCACCTGATATGTTCACGTGATCACTTCTTTTGAAGAGACGTAGTAACATCATTTGACAAGTATGACGTAGACCATGTACATATTCGATTCTGCTGAACTAATATTCTATAAGATTTAAAAATAAACTAATATAAAAAGTTGTTTACAACAGAGATAAAACTGGCTCTGAGATCTACGTGAACAAAAGATTCAATGTTTCTACGAATCAAGTTTAACAGAACTGTACCGAATCTTATGGAAAAATTTCAAATAAAAAAAGTGAATAAAGTAATCATTCCAATAACATTCTTTGAAATAAATAACTAAAGAAAAAGAATTGAAAACCAACACACACGTAATTAAATTACATATACGTAACATAATGAAGCAAACCTATTCTAAATTTGACCTTTATACTAATTATACATGATAACAACGCAACTATATATACAGATTTTCATTATAATTATGCAGGTTACGTTCGATTGTTTAGAAATGTACTGAAAGCACTCTATCATATTTACATACATAAGCATATATACACTGCCCAGGAAATTATAGCTGAGCGCCGGACACATCACGTGGACGTTTAATGTGCGACTGCCAAAGAGGATATTGCGATGTCAAGCTGAATGAAAGGAGCGTATTGGCTATGTCAGGAAAATCGCTTCAAAGATTTTCTCAAGTCCTCTTTGAAATATTTCAATAATACCCTAAATATTGTGAAGATGTTCCACAGGATAGATGTGCCTGTCACAGTCACATCCACACCGTAGCCACAAGCTATTAGCTGAAGCTAATTTCAGAGGCAATACAGTGGCGCGATTAACATAAATATAGAAACTGCCGGATGCCGTCTGTTAATCAGCAGACCTATGAGGCCATTGTACAGACCATTGTACAGGCGTCTGACCAGTGTACATCTGATAATTCATAGTACAGATTGGCTTCATAAGCTACATACATGCGCACTGAAAACAATAAGAATCTGATGTTGCAGTCATCTTCCAGTATTCAAACACATATCGAATACTGACTATATCTATCAGAGTAGACCACACAAAAACAGCAAAATTAGTCCAGAGGAATATTAGTGTCAATTCTTGTCATTAATGGCTTAAAATGTGTTAAATAATTGAATGGTAAAATGGATTTACGTGAAAGTGAAGTCGTAATAACAACGACATCGATAAAGTGTGTGTGATTTGTGTGAGTTAGATTTTTAACGTAGCTTTAAAAAAATTTCAGTCATATCTCTACTATGTCTGCAGTATGACAATTTATAGTGATGTCAATCACTGGGGCATCATGTTGTAGACATTTGGCATGATGTCACACCCAGTCACATTATTCTGACACCAGGCCTACCATTCCTAACACTAACCTCTCAATGCTAAGCGCCAAGCGAGGCAGCGTTAGTACCATTTCTTAAAGTTTTGGTTTGACTCGGCCGGGGATCGAACCCACCACCTCTCGCATCTGAGGTGGACACTCTAACCACTAGGTTACCCGAGCAGTTACCTCGATAAACTGGAACGCAGGACGACAGAGATTAGATGTCACTGACCTGTCAAGTGAGAAGATTAGTTTGCTTGGCTATCAGGAACAAAGTCTGAATTTGTACATTACTATGGTGAACGAGCGAGCGTGATTCTTCATTAAATTGCATTAGGTCACATCAAGGTCATTCAGATCTTGGATGATGATTGTATTTTCCTGTATGACTATTAATTGTCATACATATATGAAATTATGAATTTAGAATTTGTATAACTTGTTTTTAATTTGTGATGTGGCTTTCATATAAAAATGTTTATGTTGACATGAGGAAATTACATCAAAACAATGATAATACAGTTTCTTTTAAATTTTGTGCTCTGGAGAAATGCACGTTTAATTGAGGTTGACTAAACATGCTGGATTTATTTTTTTCTGTTACATAGTTGAGGACCATATCGTCGTAACATTAAGTGCAAAGTTTTGGATTTAATGGATTACATTATCCTTAGAAAAAAGTTCTGGTTAAAAGCGACTCTGCCATATTTATGCAACAATTTTTAGTAACGCCAGGTTACGCCATCCTTAGAAAATGCGTCATTGTATGAAAGGATTAGGCAATCCTTCAGAAATGCAATTTAGTAAAAGTGGATCACATGAAGATTTTCACAATACCACTACCCAAAAATATTTATCTTCATGGAAATGACCATGGCGACTGCGGAACGTTTTATTATATCGAACGTCTCTCTCTCTCGCTATATATTGACTCATGCAAATTATAAGTTGTCTTATTTTAAAGATCAACGTTAAATCAAAGATATCAAGGGGGTTGAAGTCGAATAATATCTACCTTCTGCGTGACATGGTGGACAAATCCTATAAATTATTCATCGACTTTTATGTATTTTGTCCGAAATGAATACAGCGGTAACAGTCTATCGCACATCTCATTTTATATCAATACTGACAATACGACGAAACAGTGTAGTAAAATTACTTGAATGCATCCAGATCTTGTTGATATTGTGCTTTTTCCGTTTCATGACGTAACGAAGTCATTTGTGATACCATAATAAAGATATAAAGGTAACGCAGTAACTATGTTAATGGGACAAATACAAAAAGCAAATCTACAGAAACATATTGCAACAAACGAAATGGTTTCTTGAACGAGAGATGTCGAAGTCAGGTGAGAATCCTGCTAGGAGTCATAAGTTTCCAGTGATTCCAAAGATTCCCATACAACAAATGTTATCAACTGGAACGTCCAATGAGTCTATTCTATAAATAAATGTATTCTAATGAATACAAGACCATATATCTCACTTCCCAATTTTGTATCAACCAAACAACTGGATGATTTTTCTTCATTAATTTAACGTAACATACAATCAACATTTCACGCCTCAAAGCTATATAACTCAGCCTCATTATACAGGGATCTCATTTAACTACTTCACCTTAGGCTAGTCTAATCACTATTTTAAGCCACATTTCTCCTGTAATTTTGCACCATTGTTTTACCACCACAACACCAGAAAGCAGCGCTTGCCAACGTCCGAACAATCCCATTCCATTTATTCCATTCCATAATATACCAGTCTCCAATCATATATAATTCACCTTGAGTCATACAACCAATTTTTATGACCAGATTTTAATAGGGATTGCTAAACTCTGGGGACAATCATGCAATTTGGACCTGAATTCACCAAAAGTAAAGAATGTCATCATGGAAACTCAAAAGCACATCGCTCCGTGACATTTGCTTCAAATAAACAGCTACCTATTTCAGTATGGATAATATATGCACAGGATTTACGTCAGTTGTCTAGTGGGGTGATATATGGACAATGATAAAATACATTAGAGACACCCTCTCTGATAAAGTAACAAGATTTATATGAAAACTAGCACACTGTGTAGCGCTATAAAGACATTGGAAATTTCATATATAGGTAAGATAAATGTAACAGGTGGCATGACCTTACGGTAATGGACACTGGCGACATTGTAGGAAATACCGTGACGTCATGCCACCTGTTACATTTCCTATGCAGCTTTATGCCTTTGTGTTCGTATCAGTGGTTACTAGAGTAATTTTGTATTACTTATACATGGACTAAATTAATAGGCAGCGAGAGAATAAATATATTCTCGAGGCAAATGAAGTGGCCCCGAAAAGAGCCCTTGGATTCTTTTTATTTTATCTTCTCCACTTGTTCCACCAGCTCTTTTTTCCAAATAATTCCTTTCCTCTTACAATTTTCTTCAACTGGTATCAAGTTTGGGTGTGCCGTTAATATAAACTTGTGCTGTATTTACATCCAGTTGCTGTTTAATTTTTCATTCTTCTCTTTTCTTTTTCTTCTTTTCATATTTTGTCCAGTTCTTTTGAGAGCCTAAGCCCAAAGACTTGACCAAAGACCAGTCGGTGAAATGGAAGATGTCTTCCACAAAACACTTCACGTCTATGACATGGTCAAGTGCCTGCTTCATGGAGGCTACTCTCACATACTTAGCTTTAATGAAGCCTCTAATCTTTTCTACTTTCTCCTTTGCCATACCTGCCATTAGATGTTGGGCTATGTTCAGGTTGGTGACTTGTTACAATGTCTTTTTTAACGTGATGATAGTTCCATGTCACTTCAATCATTTTCACCATGTATACTACAACAATCATCCAATAATAAATATGTCTAAGTTGGTTAAATAGATCTGTGTTTTATTCTCTGTAGAATGGCTTTATTGGAGATCGCTAAGCATTTATATACTTCAAGCACAGACATGAAGGAAATCATCCCTTACACTCGCTTCATATAGTATATACTATCCACAGAAACGAACGAGAAGGCATAGAACAAACACTATACTCTTTCACAAAGGAATTACAAGAAAAACATACACCAACGATACAACACATAAAAAACTTCCATATGCTATACACGACAACAAAGGAGAACGCACAAAACACACAAATATACTATCCGCACCAACGAAAGAGAAAGCATAACACACCTATCTACTATCCACACAAGGGGGGTGAGAAGAAAAAGCATACCTATATACTATCCACACCAACGAACGAGAAAGCATAAAACACAAACACATTATTTACTAGTCACACCAATGAACGAGAATGCATAAAACACACACATGTACTATCCACAGCACGAAAGCACATGAAAAACAAACAACAATAAAAAGAGTGAGTGTTTATAATGCTACGATCCTGTAGTTAAATTACATGTGTGTTAAGATATGAAGTATTTAGTTTAATTTGGATTTTAATTTTATTTAATTAAATTTTATTGATATGATAATGATAATGATTATGCTTACGTGGGTCTGATAATTTGTGAGAAACATCGTGTTTACTTAAAACGTGAATGTAACTCCTGTAAGTACGATTTTTTGCATGCAGGTTTTGTCGTTACATGTAAGCAACCAGGAAAAGCTATGCAAATGATTGACTGTGACCAAGTCATTACTAATTATACTTGTTTACGCATTTTTAATGCACAATTGTGAATTCGTAGTCACAAGTATCTTTCATTTATGTGTACATGACATGGCGTATTGGCTTTCTTTTAATCCTCCGTTACCTGTTAGAAATAGTTAGTCCTAGTCGGTCATAGTCGAGAGTCACATCATAACATCGCATAGTGTTTCTAATACCTTAACACTGATCTTCCTGTGCTATAAAATATGTTCGTTCGTACGTATGAGGAACAATATGTGTTTTGTTATTGGTGCTAGCTGTACTTCATCTACCTTTTAAAAAATAATTATTTTCCCTGGATATCTACACAGTTGGCTTTGGACTGAGACAATTGCTGAAATTATTTCTAAATTGTAGCAGAGCAACACAAATTGTGATTCACAGTGAAAATTCTAGACATTTGTGTTAACCTTTGTCTGACGGAGATTATGATTATATTAATATAGAACTATTTGTTTCTAGGGAAATAAATTATTTTGGCTAAATTTTACAAAGCTTGCTCTTTTCTTTGTGAAACATTAAACGAACCGATACACAACAGAAACACATTGGGTTACTCGTCCCTCAGAGCAAATGCCATAGGAACTACTCAACAATTAAGACTTAATGCTTGGCTTTAATGCTAGCACAAAACATTTGAAGCATATATCATCTCAGCTTCTCTCCCGATTGTTGTTTTCAGTGATCACAACCCCCTTACTTTCGTCAGCAGAATGAACAATAAAAGTCAAAGGCTTTTGAGATGCAGTTTTTTTGTTTCGCGAGAGTATAATTTTGATATCAGGAAAATCAATGGCAATGATAATTTAATTCTAGATGAAAATTTCCGTGTATATAAGTGTTTTTTGATATATATCGTTGTTGAAATTCATAAGAGTTCTTAGTATGTAATTGTATTTATTTACCTCATGTATTATTTACATCTGTCAAAAACGAAAGCTCTATAACATTAATCCTTCAATTTTTTTCTTTTTTGGTATAGTTTTATTCCCCGGATGTTAAATTACATGAGTGTTAGGATTCGAATTTTTGTAATTTATTTCCATTTTAGTTTTAATTCATTTTATACCAATAAATGTAATATTTATCATGATGATTATTTATGTCTGCATGGGTATGATCTTTTGTTAGAAACATCGGGTTTACTTAACATGTTATTGTGACTCGTGTTAGAAGGTTTTATAGTCCACATGTGATTTCGAAAATCAAATTGTGATTCACAGTGAAGATTATGGAAATTTTTTGTTAAACTTCGTCTTACATCATCATCAGCCATCTTGGCATGGAATTGAAATTCAGACTATATTAATTCAGAACTTTTTTTTTTCAAAGGACGTCTATGTTTTCACAACTTCAGAAAAAAAATCGGATCTTCTTCGTGTATCGTAGGTCTTTTTTCATATACTTTCCGTTTCTCCGTGTTTTCTATGAAAATAACTTTTTTGTGAAATTTTGCAAAGCTTGTTGTAGTCGCTCTTTTCTTTGTGTTACAATAAACAAGCCTTTATGTAAAA